CATTCAACTCGTAATTATCAATCGTGCCTGTTCACTATTCTCTGCTTTAGTGACAAAGGCGCAGAACAGCCTCCAGGTTTTGACCATAGAAAACCCCGATAGGAACACCCGATTCATCCGCCTTCCCTGGCACACGTGTTTGGACATGAACCTGCCAGCTCTTCGCCGGTTGTGTGTGAAGAATCTGATATTTCCTGCTGCGGCACTGGCAAGTCTCCTAGGGAAATGTGGCCGACTACAGTGTCTCTCATTCGAGGATTTCGAGTGGCCTAGAGGCATTCGTGCGCTGAAGCCAGTCTTCGATGAGATTCGTCAGCATCCCAATTCGCTGCGTCTTGATTTCAAAGGAACAACCGGGACCAAGGGAGTCGAATTTAGATTCAAGTGTCAAGATCATCGCGTTTTCAGCGAACCCGAGCCCCTTCCAGGCAACCCCGAAGGTGAGTATGAAATGCAGACGAGCCTCCGTCTATATCTCGCCGGGCAGGGAGAATGGAATGATCACTTGCGAACCTGGTTTCCATCCACTTGAGACCTACAGTCGCAGGCGGCATTTCCTACACCGGATATTCTTGTCTGCCACACGCGAGCGGGAACCGAACGGGCCAAAACCAAGCTACCACGTTTGTCATTCCCCCCGAAAGAAAACGTGCATGGTAACGAGGGTCAAGCATACTCTCCTGTAGGAATAGGGCTTCAGACAGTGTCGAGCTTGGCTAGGCTTTCTCAGGGGTGCAAGCGGCGTCTGAGATCACAACACCGAAAAGAGTCAGACACAACAAGGTCACCGCGGTACGAGGTACGGTAAAAAGATGTACTAGGACATAAAAAAGAAACCCCCCAAAAACAGCCAAGACGAACAGGAACGAGAGGGCTGATTGAGAAGTCGAACTCAATGAGATTATATTGGCTTGCGATCCATTGCTTGGTTGGACATACTGAAGACTTGAGAGATCACCAGACCAGGTTAGAGTCTTTGTCCTCGACGTATGCCTCTGTTTGGTACAGTGCGAGCTTGTTGCAGATCAGAGCATAGAAAGGCAGTATGGTATTAGAACAGAGCTAACATTTGCCTTCCTCAAGAAGTGAAAGTCATACTTTTCCCTTGCAGCTCTTTGCCCATCTTCCCTCGTCTAGCCCCAGTGCTCGTATCCAATGCTTTTGCAAAAGGGTTCAAGATCTTCTTTTGCGGTGCCTGCTGTCCTTGTGGGCCAGGAGCCAGCAAGGATGGCGCACTGGCGTAATCAAACGGCTGCGCAGCTTGTGATTCGGCCACAGCTGCAGCTTTTTCGGCCTCTTTCCGAGCCTTCTTCTCGGCCTTTTTCTGTTTCTTCGCTTGACGTTTTGCATCGAATTCCGTGTTACTGTCGGCATCGAGAGCAAGGGAGGTCTGAGGCGAAACGGTGGACGCTGGGACCGCAACAGTGTCTCTAGCTGTTGTCTTCCCTGTTGCGATGCTATTCACCCCATCAGAGGTAGGAATATCCTCGTTGACTTCGTCTGTCTTCCTCTTCTTGCCCTTTGAACGTGACAACTCGTTGAGCGTGAAAATTTCATCGGCTTTGGAGCGGAATCTGTCTTTTGGTGTTGGAGGGAGGTATGGAAGTGTATTTGCCAGTATTTCGGCTTGGGTTGATTCGAATATGGGCTGGCTGAAAGTTCTGTCTCCCGTATTGGCTTCTTCGATAGTGGCAAGCAGTCGAAGCGGGGCGATTGAGGAGAGCGCGATAGTTGCGGCGGCAATGTCTGTAGGGAGCTGATGATATTGAGGCATTACACCGCCCCAGAACATCGATGCAGACGCCCTTTCCGCGGTGGCCACTGAATCACCTTGCTCCAGTGGCGCTGAAGTTGAGGTGGCCGCTAGGTGTTTCAAAGTAGCGCCCAAACCAGAAAATGTGCTCTGAGGTTGCTGCTTTTTCTCTCGTGGTCGGCGGGCTGTCAATCCAAGAACTTTCTCACAGTGCCGGACCACCTCTTCGTGCGATTTGCCATTCTTGCCCTCAGTCTTGCCTTGCTTGACAATCTCGATAATCTCAGGGATACGGTCCGAGACAAGCTTTGACTCCCCTCTGCAACTCTGGTGGAAATTGAACACCGAGGTCGGCATGTTTTCAGCCACCAGCCACAATGTCCTATTAGGCAGGATGAATTGAACACCTTCGTCCAGCTCGCGTGCTTTGCGGTCTCGCCACGCGTGAAGAGCACGAAAGACCCCGAGCTGCTCTTTACTCAGACTGACGAATCTCTGGGTGAGCATTCCGAACCAACCAAGGGGGCCGCCGCCTGTTTCGAGGTCATACATTTGACGAGTATAGACTTGAAGGGCTTCTTTCTTCGACTGCGATAGGACATAGTCTGTAAGGTTGACATTGTGTGACGATCCATTGACAAGCATATTTCGCATGTGATCATAAATGGTGAGCAGATAGTGTGTGTCGGAGCGCGCATAGTCGATCAAGTCCTTGGGGAGAGGGCGCACCCGCCAGTCCGCAAGCTGGTACTGTTTTTGAGCATGGACATTTGCGAACCGGAGAAGAAGGTGCTTTAAACCTTTCCCTTGGAACTGCAGAGCACAAGCTGCATGATAGGTGTCGAAGAGACCGACGATGTATAGGCCCAAGTCGCGTTGCAGCCAGATGACGTCCATATTTGAACCATGCAGCACTTTGAGGATTTTCGGGTTTGCGAACACCTGATTGAGGATCTGCAGATTCTCACGCCATGGTTTCAGTGTGTCAATAATCCAATCCTTTTTGCGTGTGCTGATCTGCATAAGACAGACCATCCCGACGTAAGAGCGTAGGTCATTGTGTTCTAGATCGATTGCGATCTCTTCGGCCGATTTGAGCTCTTCGAGCATCTCTAGGACGCCTTCTTCCGTATCCACGAAGACGTGCTCGCTTTCATCTATTGGCGAAAAAGGTATCGGCTGCTTGAATTTGTAGACGGAAGGGGGGTACCGGTAGATCTCGATTTCTCGTGCGTAGGGGTGGTTATATCTGCACGTGGAGTGAGTAAATGCGCCGGAAAGATAGTGAGGACCATACCCTGTATCCTCAATTCCTATGCTTTCTTCCAGCGGAATGAGAGCATGAGGCTTCGTCTGAAGCAAAGGCCTGAAGGGGCTCGGGTCAGAGTTGTTCACCTGTCTGTCAAAGAAGGCTTGAGGTTTTTGCATGTTGCCTGCAGCCCATCTCTGAAAACTCAAACCGGTCTTTGTAGGTCTGGGAGAGGGGTCGACATCCTGGGTGGTTGTATCCTGTGGTTTGATGATGCCCGAGAACTCATCAAGTGCAGAGTCAGCTTTCTCAAGTAGACCATCCACAACATCAACAACGCCACGCCAGTTATCCTCGACGCTGTCCTGATCTTTCAATGTAGGTTGTTTGAGTGGCGTGTCCTGAGTGGCAGCCTTGAGGAGTTTGTTCGTCAGGCGCAGAAGATGAGCATCTTGACGATCAAGGGCGCGAGACAGCTTGTCGCTGGAGGAGCGATGGAACCCCAGATCTTGGTTGGACACTTGGGTCGCGCTCCTTGTTACGTTGATGAGAGATGCTTGGACCAGGTCCTGAAAGGACTTGAAGTCCGCGGTCAGGTCCATGATAGAAAGGTGCTTGTCTCAACTCCTCCCGAATCCCATTACGCTGTGGGTAGCAAGGTCGTTGGACTACTGTGTTGACCACACCTGGTAGTAACAGGAATGGAGATCTATGCGGAAAGATTTCAGACAATTTGCAGGATTGAAGACCGCAGGGATGAACCGAAGGTTCTCCACTAAAAACAACGGCGGAGTTTAGACGTGGCCAAGTGTAATCTACGGTCAATCGTTAGCTGCCTAAAATGTAGGCGCCTCGGCGCTCACTCAGCCATCTGAGCCTTGTACCAACTTGTCAACTCACCCATCTGCTGACTACAATTACTAATTCAAAGCCACTGCAAACCCGAAGAACCATTAAGAGGGATCATGAATTACCCTGTAATCTCCATTCACATCCTTGGATATGGTGGGAGCGCTTAAAAGTACTGGTTGCGCGACGTGTCGGAAACGCAAGAAGAAGGTGAGGTTGGCACAGTCTAGCACTCTAGCGAGAAACCCCCTATTTATGCTGAGTTTGGTTGGTCAAGTGCGGTGAAGAGACACCTTCATGCTCAGCATGCATAAAAGCCGGCTGGAAATGCCCAGGCTATCCCAAAAGATGGAAGTTCATTGACGAGGGTGGATCGCTTGCATTGCTCTACCGCAAAAAGAAGTATATCTTTGAAGATGTCGGTCAGCACGAAGCAGCAGTCGATGGATGGTTAACCTTTAAAGTCAATCCCATCGACCAAGGCAGCGGTTCTCTCAATCCGAGATCATGGAATGCCATTGAGTGGCCGCTAGCTTTTCCCGTTGACCGGATACGTTCGACTCTGTGCTACATACTGGATCAGCCGCAGAACAGGCACACCTTCCCTATCAAATCTCATGGAAGATTTTATGGTATGATTCCGTCCCGGCTGGGCTGCAGTGCTGCACTGGACGATGCGGTTTCGTGTCTGTGCAGCATCTACACGGACTCTCTCAGATCAGACCAAACGCCCTCAAAGAAGTGCCTTCAGTTGTACGCCCGGAGTTTGCACTCTCTTCGAAAGTCGCTGGGCATACGGCATATACGCGCAGAGGCCGAAACAATATGTGCGTCCATTATTCTGCAGACATGCGAGGTGAGAATAGAATGTTTCGATCTCTATTGTCGATGAGTTAGCCGCATCAGGAACTGACCTTCCAGCTTGTGCTGAACGATGATGTTGGACGATGGACTCAACTTTGTATGGGAACGAAACTCCTTATCCAAGAACATGGCGCCGCACGATTCATTCACCCCTTCGAAAGGGCGATGCTCGAGTCGCAGCGAGCTTGGTTTGTGAGTACTTGTATCCTTTGTACTGATACCCCGTGCTCGATTGCGGTTGACTAAGCCGCCGAAGATTCTTCACGATGCAAGTCTTGGACAAGAATGCTTTTTGTCAGGACGAGAGTGGCGTCAGTCTCTGGAGAGCCTCCCACTTCCATCGACACCGAGGGGCACGCTAGTATCTCACTTCGATCTGAGCTTTGTGAATTCCTTGTCGACGTGCCCGGATTGATTCGAGAAGCCACAAGCACGGCAGACCAACTCTTGGACGGAGATGTTGACCCAGTTGGGCTCAAAAAACGGCACCAGAACGCAATCATTCAGATATCATCCGTGAAACACGCCTTCGAGTGGTGGTATAGCACCAAAATTGCCCCTCTGCGCTCTATTTCAGACGCCGTGGGCTCAACCAGGGTTGAAACTACCAGCAATAGCTCCGTGCGGGATGACCTTCTTCTTGCTGTCGTTGACTGCGTGTCCAATTCCATAATGATAAAACTAGACACATTGCAGGCCCAGTTAAACTCGGACTGGGGTAACCTCAGGGTGGACGTCCTTGGATGTCAACAGGCACAGGCGAAACGAAGAAAGATGATGTACCAAGCTTTACAGTTTGTTCGAGACAAATCTTTGGTCGCAGCAAAACCTCTCGAATTTGGGTTGCGACAGCTGTGGCTCGACACTGAATTCGAACACAGCGAGAAGTACGCAGCTGAGTAAGATCTTACAGCCACTGATCAACGTCCTCAATATACTTGACTCCACGCGCTCTATCTCAATCCATCAAGACCCAGCTTTGGTCCACAATTCCAAGGGATTGTCCTATCCTCTTCTCAGACGCATGGCCATTTCCTGAGCCCCATCAGCGCTGAAATGATTTATCAGACCCTTGTAGGTCTTCTTCGCGAATTGCTCTGCCCGGCTTAGCATCTCACCCTCATATGCTTGGATAGCAGCTGACAACTTTTCCCTATCTCCGCCGCAGCCGACAATAGCATTTGCAAGGTCCAATGAATCAACCATGGCAAGGTTGACCCCAACACCAGCAAAAGGGGTCATCACATGAGCTGCGTCTCCTAGTAATGTCACTCCTCCGTCGCACCTCCATCGAAAGCCGACGGGCAGCATCCACATCCGGCGAGGAATGAGCTTATCGTTAGCGTCCAAGACGACTCGCTTCAGCTCGTCGCCGCAGTCGGCATAATACTGTTCAACGAGCTTTTGCCTTGCCGTTTCCGGCGAAGACCAATCGATGCCGCATTTCTCAAGCCATTCTTCAGGCTGTCGCACTCCGGCGTAAACTCGAATGCTGTTGTTTCCCAGTTTCTGGCATTGAATTGCCCGGCCCTCATCGAACATGAAGCAGTTCCCTGCACCCACGAAGTTGCTCAACCATTGGTGTCTTTTATCGATATCCTCCGCCCACAGCTCAATGGCGGTAACGCCCGAGTAATATGGTTGCTGGTCTGTGAGAAATGAGCGGACTTTGGACCAAGCACCGTCAGCGCCAACGACGAGGTCGAATCCTTTCTCCCTGCTGTCTTGGAAGATGAGGTCATATTTTCCGGCCTGCAAAAGCGACTTCTGTACAGATTGCAGCTTTCTATTCCACACCACGGTCCCCGGCTCCAGTGAGTTGAGAAGCAACTGCCGCAACTTTGTTCGATCGATTTCTGGGCGATTGGCGTATTCCTCGGGTCGATTGGTGCCGATCATATTCTCGTCGTATAGAATGGTGCCATCGTACTTGAGCAACTTCAGTGCTTCACCTTCTGGACGAGAGAGCTTCTTGAATTCCTCCGTCAGACCTGCATGCTCCAGGGCGAGCTGTCCTCCTCGTGGGTGTAAGTCGACTGTTCCGCCTTGGTCTCGTCCTAGAGAGTCGGTGTCAAGCTCGAAAACAGAGCAATGGAGGTTGTTGAGTTGAAGGAGGCGTGCCAGCGTGAGGCCAGCGGGACCGCCTCCAACTATGGCGACTCGGATGTTGCTTTGACTCATAATGTCTTTGCTGTTTGAGATCTGCTGCCTGCTGATACTTTTGGCTATTGCTGTGCTATATCTGTCTTGTGTCTCTTAGATGATGTTCAGGGTTGAGACCGGTCCTTTTATACCATTATTCCTCAGTCAACAGTCCCAACCTCATTAGCAAGGGGCCTCCTAGCATTGTCAGCCTCGTATCTCGAGAGATGGTGCTGATTGGTCACAGCGCAACATATTACAACACTGTCCGCCTGTTGGCTTCAAACCATCAGAAATGTCAGGCCCCAGCTGCTTCGGTGGTCACCGTGCAAGGCGCCTCGTGTAAGACCGAAGACCGAGACTTGGCAATTGTGCCAAGCTTTATGGGGCCGAGTCTCAAGTGGGAACCGAGACTGTCGCTGGCATCCGCTTCGTAATGATTGGGCACTGCGCAACATCATCCCATATCCACTTTCCCTTTCCGTCTTTTGTGGCGCCCAAGGTCAAGGCTGAAGGGAAACTGAGCAAAATATCGCAAAAATGTCGCACGAGATTCCTTATACACCGAGCCTGTTTCAGGCAGTATTGACTCGACAGAGAGTCTGATATGTACTACCTGTTCTCTTTCACTATAAACGAACAGGGCGAAACAGGAATACCAGGTCTACTTCCCAGAGCACACTTGGCAGAATCACAAGGACCACGGCCTCGAACTTGAACACGCAGCACCAATCGATTCGGGGGCATTCACACGAAATGTCTTCCTCCCCACCACAGAGCACCAACGACCTCCTCCGCGATACCCTACCGCCTCCAAAAATTGGCGTGGTCATCTGCTCGCAGCGCCAGCCGCGGATCGGGGACCAGATCGGGACGTTCATTTTCCAGAGCCTCAAGCAGCACCAACAACAACAGCAAGCCAGCCAACACAAGTCTCCCGATGCTCAGCGGCCTTTTGAGCTCTCGCTGATCGACTTGGCGGATCACCCGCTCCCGTTCTTCGATGAGCCTGGTATTCCACAGCGCATCACGAACCCACAGGACTACACCCACGGTAAGACTCTCATATGAAGTGCCGGCTACGTATTTCTCCACGTCGATGGTGGAATTCAGCGCCGGTAGAACTATCCAGTCTTCGCCCCTTTTCTTGTTATTGTCGCGCTATCAAAGGAAATTGGAAAATATGCTGACATATGTAATATCGCGATAAATGGCAAGAACATACCCGCGCGTGGTCCCGACTAATCACGTCCTACAAGGCATTCGTCTTCGTCACACCCCAGTACAACTGGGGCTACCCGGCCAATCTCAAAAACGCCATCGACTACCTCTTCAACGAGTGGGTGGGCAAGCCCGCCATGGTCGTGTCGTACGGCGGCCACGGGGGAACGCAATGCGCCGGGCAGCTGAAACAGGTCCTCAGCGGCGTCCGGATGAAGGTCGTGCAGAAGAGTGTCGGATTGGCGTTCCCGGGTCCCGGAAGGGAATTCCTCGTCAGGGCTGCCATGGGCGAGGATCTGGGGTTGGACGCGGCCGGGGGAGGACTGTGGGCTAATGAGGCGGGTGAGGTGAAAGTGGTCTTTGATGAATTGGTGAAGCTGTTACATGACGAATGAGGGAGTGAAGAGGCAGAAGAGGCCCTGTGGATTGCGGTGCAAGCATATATGCTTTGTAGCACCGATGCACGCTATCTCAAAGGGTTCCAACGGGCTGCGTGGCTCGGACAACGGGGCATTCATTGCCGATCCAAACTACAACACTTTCCCCCCCCCCCCCCCCCCCCGGCTGATCACAGATCTCTATGGAACTTGGGTTCTCCTAGCTTCATCCGCCAGTCTTCTCCCTTGAAGAACAACAGGAGAAGCGGCAGGAAGAAAGCCACATCAATGAATGCCATTGCGACCCATGCGTTCAGCACGCCGGATTCTTCAGCCCAAGGGATTGCATAGAAGCCCATGGCAAAGGAGAAGATCTGTCTCGCAAAGTTCAGCAGCGAGCCAATCTCAGGCGATTGTGGTTTGTAGCACTGAATTACATATATAGTTAGCGAACAATATGTAACTGGTCAGCACTGTTCCCGAGCAGATTGTGTGACTCACCTCTGCGGTATACGTGTAGACGACGGTGGTGGAAATCTGTAACCCAACATTGGCGATGGCGATTCCAAATGCCACGCCGATCCAGTGTGTTTCCCGCTCGAGGCAGACACCTTCGATGATGATGCCAATCGGTGTGAGTATGAAGGCGGGGAGTACCGCCAGCAGTCTATCTTCGGGCTTTCGTTCGCCACCTCTTCTTATTGCCCTCCTCTCACTCACCCAATCTGAGAAGCCGCCTGACATAACCTCGCCAATGATACTCCCAACCGTGATGGGAACTCCGAGCAAGAGTCCAGTCTGCTGGGGTTTAAAGTGGTAGATTTTGCCGAAGAGGTTTGCACTGGTGATTATGAAGAGGATACTGCCATACGCAAAGGACACTGCGTAGGAAATTGTGGGAAGAAGCACACTCGGGTATTGCAGCATCTGAATCGGTCGAAAGAAGTCGACGACGCGCAGACGTCGCGTAGGATGAGCCTTGCCTTGCATCAGCATATTTTGCATCCAGGTCCGTCGAGGTCGCGCAAGCGCTTCAGCCGCGCGGGAGTAGAGCGTTTCTGGCACGGTGAGGGTGAATAGGACGAGTACAGCCGCTGTGAGTATCGCCGGGATGTAGAAGCACCAGTGCCATGTCAAGTCCTTCTCAATGTAGCCGCCGATGATTGGAGCAACATGGCCTCCGAGGATGAACGAGACAGTGTATATTCCCATATAGAACCCTCTTTCGTGTGTAAAGAACAGATCGCAGACAGTGGCACTGCCTAGTCCTAGCGGAACGCCCCCGAAGAATCCGTTGAGGGCGCGGAATGTCAGAATTTGTCCGAAATTCTCTGATTTTCCCGATGCCACAGACATTGCTATGCTTATCGCAACGGTGATGATGTACACAGGCCGTCGTCCGTAAACATTAGATATTGGGTTCCACACGATCGTAGACACTCCTACACATGCAATGAAGGTGCTGGTCACGAAGGCTGTTTGCACAAGGCCTCTATGGAGGAAATGCGAGAGAGGTACAAAAGCCGGGGTCTGGACACATTGTTAATTCCATTGCTGCGAGCAAGAATCTTGCAATGACGATGCCTTACAATCAATGATGCGCTCAATAGTGCCAGGAATGACAGAAGAGAAATCTCAGCAAGGACAACCCACTTGACCCAAAGTTTCCACTGTGTTTGTTGCCTGTCAGCGTATCTGGTTCCTCAATCAATTTGGTACCATCGAAATGCAAATACAAGGTTGACAATAGAGGACACTCACGCACATTCAATGGATCCAAAGGATCTTCTGAGGGCTGTGGCACGAGCGGAAGGCCATGGCTGTCACGATATATGACAGACTCCCCTGAATTGGCACGTACATCGTCCTTGACAATGTCCGAGCTGCTCGTGCTCTCAACGGTCGCCACTTGGGGCTTCTCTACCGCAGTCATTGCGAATATTGATGGTCCAAGTTGGGAGGTTGGCAATGGGAGTGGGAAGCCGTGAGGCAGATAGGCCGTAGTGAGCCACTTCGCTTGCGGACCGAGACATTTCAGAGTACAAATAATAAGGACTGCCCAACATGTGTCGAATTGCTTACCGGTGAGAGGTCGGGGAGTTAAGATAGACCCCCGGGAAGCTGGGGTATCAACTGTGGAGACGCGGAGAATCCTGGGAGATT